GCTCCCAAAGGACACTCTGAGCACTTTCAGGACGCCTTTGAGGGTTCCTCCTGGAACATGGGAAACCTCTCTCTCTCCCTCTACTCTGCCCTCTTCTCTTACTCAGGTTGGGACACCCTTAATTTTGTAACAGAAGAAATCAAAAACCCAGAAAGGTAAAGATGGGCTCGCCCTCCCACTCCCCGGCTCTCACTCCCCAACGCGGCTGGAACAGCTGGTAGAGGGCAAGGTCGCCCCCTTCCTCCCCCTTGTCCCGCTGGCTCTCATCCCTCCCTCCCCAGTCTCCAGCTCAGAGGGATTCGGGGTCAGGATGGGAGTGAGTGAAGGTGGGAAAGCGGTGGCTCCCCCCTCCCCCCCCATGGTCATCCTGGAGGAAACCAGGGTCCCCCCTCAAGGAGCTGTCCTTGAATGGGCAGCAGAGCCCGCTGGGGCTAAGGTGCTGGGACCTTGCACGCTGGTACTGACCCTGAGGCCTGGGGAGCCGGAGGTTTATTCTGGGCAGCCAGGCACTCAGCCTGACCTCTAGTCCCTAGGGGACACTGCTCCTCCTCCAGTGGGACCCATGGGTCCCCTTGAGGCGAGCATCACACATGGACCATGAGCTCATGAGCTCTCTCCACAGAGAAGGGTTTCTCTTCCCCCTTCTCCCTAGCGGGCCCAGGGGCGTGGGACACATACCCATCCTGGGATCATGGGGGAGAGGCACCTCGAAGACCCCGAGGCCAGGGAACTGTCAAATGTCAGAAAAATCCTTGGGTGAACTCTGACCCCAGGGAGAGGCTGGTTCTAGGTCGCCCGTCTCACTTGTGCCGACAGGAACCTGCCCCTGGCCATCGGGATTTCGATGCCAATTGTGACGCTCATCTACCTCCTGACCAACGTGGCCTATTACACAGTGCTGGGCATTTCGGACGTCCTCAACAGTGACGCCGTGGCTGTGGTGAGTCGCTTGGGATCCCCGTTTGCGCGTCGTCCTGGGACACTGAACGGTTCGATCTTTTCGCAGCCACCCCAGCTCCGCAGGTGAGGTGAGGCGAAACTGAACGGTTCGATCTTTTCGCAGCCACCCCAGGTCCGCAGGTGAGGCGAGGTGAGGCGAGGTGAGGCGAGGGGGTCTTGGCCAGAGGGCGGGCTGCCCAGCAGGGACCCTGTTTGTCCCCACAGCCTGGAGGCAGGAAGCTTAGGAAACCCTGTCTCATGCTGAGTGCGCCTCTGTGTTCCGCCCCCAGACATTTGCTGACCAGACATTTGGCATGTTCAGCTGGACCATCCCCATCGCTGTGGCCCTGTCCTGCTTTGGGGGCCTCAATGCGTCGATCCTTGCTTCATCAAGGTACTGGTAACAGACTCCACTGTTCTCTGAGGCTTTAGGTGAGCCTGTAAGAGCTCTTCTTTTCCTTCCTCCCTTTCCTAGAAAGACAGGGTGTGTGTGTGTGTGTGTGTGTGTGTGTGTGTGTGTGTGTATGCACATCAGTGTGCACGCGTCTGCCTTTGTGCAAATGGTGGTGTGCTGGTAGCTCATGCGTTTATCTATTGAGTTGGGAGAGAAAGAAAGAAACATCCACTTGTTGTTCCTTTGACTTAAGCATTCATTGGTTGATTCTTGTATGTGCCCCGACCTGGGATCAACCCCATGACCTTGGCGAATCGGGACGATGCTCTAACCAAGGACAGATTGATAGGAGGTGGGAGAGAAGAAGGTAATAGCTGGGGTGAGGGACCCTGTCAGGGACCAGCTTCTAGGCTCCTTGTGGGTTACGGCACAGCCCCAGACTCACTGCTTCGGTAAACGATTAGCGAGCACTCGCTGGGTACCAGGTCCCGGCACAAGATGATTCTGCCCCTCACGTCACAGAAAACACTGAGCCCGACAGGTCGGCTCCTGCTCTCCCCTCTGTGCGGAGGCTGACCTGCCGGTTGTTTCAGAGAAAGGCGCCTTGCCGGCTCACTCTGCTACCTGGGGTCAAGGTTACACACTTCCCTTCCTTAGCGCCGTGGTGCGTCCCTTGGCCCTTCTCTTGGGCGGACGTTCGCCCATTGGAGCCGTCTCCGCACGCACTTCATTCATCTCCACTCACAGAAGTCGCAAAATAGCTCTTCCCGTCTCCCCTCTTCCTTCCTGGGCACATTTCTTGAGGGAATAGTGTGTATTTCACCGGTCATTCCTTTTTCTACCCATTACCCTGTGGCTTCTAGGACCTAAAAAAAAAAATGTTCTGAGTAAGGGTACCAGTGACTCCCCCTCAGCCTGCTTTCATCACGGTCCTTATAATACCGGACGCACGAAGCAAGTGATGCCGACAGCCTTTTACTCCCGAAACGATTCCTGTGACTCTCTGGTAGCTGAGAAGGCTCCTTTCCTGATTTCTCACCCCATAAATGCTGCTATCCCCGAGGCCAGGAGTGTACGAGGCATGCAATAAAGATTTGCCACAGGAACAGATAGGATAAGAGAAAGTTTTGTCCTGTTTATTTTCCTTAACTGGTTTTGACACCCCAGTCCGTGTACGTGGGGCCTCCCTGGAGCATCAAGAGTAACAGGGAAAGCAAGGTCTTGTAAAAGAATATAGTGTCATCTCCTCACCCCAGCCTGGTGTGGCCCAGGTTCCACCCCTTGTGGTTTTCACAAGCGGCCCCACCCAAAGATGGTACTTCCCCTCGCCTCATGCTCACTGGTGTTCAAAACATCCCCCTTGACCTTGCCAATTATCTCCAAATATTGAGGTGGTAGGTGCCTTCTCACCTCACCTTGGGACATCGACTGGATGGGGTTGGGGAGGACGCGAGAGTAAGAATCTGGACCTGCGCTCAAGGGGCGGTGCAGTGCTGTCCAGGAAAGAATGCACAATTGTTTCTGCTTGTGTTGCCGTCTTCAGTTTTTCTTTATAACCCACGCAGCTGGTGTGGGTTTTGTACTGGACGCCTTTGCCTCACCTACACATTACCCCCTTCCAGCATCCTCTCTTCCACATTTCCTCTCTACTTAGTACAGATTATTAACTTCGTCAGCCAACTCCAGCGTCTTGCCCGATAGCACCTTTAAAGATGATACCATCAACTCCTGTGTTTCCACCCGGATGACCCACACGTATCTCAAACTTAATATACACTTTGTGTCCAAATTCCCTTTGTGTCCAGTTGTGATTTTGTGGACCATCAGTCCTCCTTGCTTCTTTTATTTTTTTTAGAATAGTTTATTATTGATTTTTTTAGAGAGAAAGGAAGGGAAAGGGAGAGAGAGAGAAATGTGGATGTGAGAGCGGAACATCAATCGGCTGCCTCCTGCACACCCCCTACCGGGGATGAAGCCCGCAATCTGGGCATGTGCCCTGGCCAGGAATCAGACCAGCAACCTTTCTGCTGGGACAGTTCTCAACCAACTGAGCCACACTGGCCAGGACAGACCTCCTTGCTTCTTAATTTTATCCTTGGTGTCTACCCTATTCTCCCAGTGTAGGTATGTGCACATGTGTACATATGCGTGCACACACACACACATACACGCACACACACAGAATCACTACATTTGATTGAGGTTTCACATCTATCCTGTCCTCTCCTCAGCTAGTGCGTTGGGCCTCATTCAGGCCTCCTCTCTTATTTTTATTTTTTTAATTTTTATTGATTTGAGAGAGGGAGAAACATCAATGATGAGAAAGAATCATTGATTGGCTGCCTCCTGCAGGCCCCCCTACTGAGGATCGAGCCCGCAACCCAGGCATTTGCCCTTGACCGGAATCCAACCCGGGACCCTTCAGCCCGCAGGCCGACTCTCTATCCACTGAGCCAAACCGGCTAGGGCAGGCCTCCTCTCTGATGGCAGTTATCATGGATGAGCTTGTCCGGCCTTCTGTCCATACCCTCGTCTCTCCCTGTTGATGCTACCAGCGTCTCTGGTCAGGCCTTTTCTTCAGAGCCACAGCTGGCTCTCATGCTTGTTCAGACTCCACAGTATGTCCGCATGTGCAGGTTCTTCCCCGCACACGGCTCACACTCCTTCTCCTAGGACTACAAGCAACCTAGTACCAACCTTTAGAGAGGCCGCACTGTTCGGACTCCAGGCCCCTTTTGCCTTTGCCCATGCCGTTTCCCCACCCACCACTCACCTCTGCCAGACTCCAGCTCGTCTCCCAGCCCAGACGTGGTCATCTCTTGCGAAGCTTTTTGTCCCCCAGCTCGCCCCTAAGCCTTGTGAGGGCTGTGAATTGCGTGATGACCTGCCTGCCCTGGGGGGTGCTCATTTCTCTGCTGCTCTGTTTCCCCGTCAGTCGGGCTCTTTCTGTGTAAAGAAGAAGCTTGGCTTGTCTCTCTGAGTCCAGGTTTGCTCTGGCCTATCGCACGTCAAGAGCTCAGAGAAGATATAGGAGGACACAAGAGAAGTCTGGCTACTTTTCTTTAAAAAGCCAAAGTCGGTTGAGCATGGTCCCATGCACCAAAAGCTTCAATTCCCGGTCAGGGCTCATGCCTGGGTTTCGGGCTTGATCCCCAGTAGGAGGCGTGCAGGAGGCAGCCAATGGATATTTCTCTCTCTCCCTCTCCTTTCCTCTCGCTCTAAAAAATGAATAAAAACATATTAAAAATAAAAGTCATTGAGTTAGGTATGAAATTTATGGGATGGCAGAGTGAGGGTACCTCTGGTGGGCTGGATTCGAGTGCCAGTGGGTGGTGGCAGGGTGAAGCGTTCATTGGGTGCTGGTGGGGTGCTGTGATTGAGGGAAGTGGGGGTGTCTGTGGGTGATGGTGGTGCCTGGGTAACCGTGGGGTAGGGCATTTATGGATGATGGTGAGGTGTCTCTGGTTGAGGAAGGTGGAGACATCTCTGGGTAAAGGGGTGGGTAGGTTGGACTGGGCATGCATAGAGAAGGTGGGGTGCTCCTGAGAGGCTGGTCCCTGCTTTCTTCTGGAGCTCTGAGCCTACTTTGTCTGCGTGAGGAGTGTGGCTGTGTGGCTGAGTAAAAGGGATCTTACTGACACATTTCCTGTCCCCCCAGGTTGTTCTTCGTGGGCTCCCGTGAGGGCCACCTCCCAGACCTTCTGTCCATGATCCACATTGAGCGTTTTACACCCATCCCTGCCTTACTGTTCAACGTAAGCTCTGCTGGGGGAGGAGGGGTGTGTGGGGACTGGGTATATATCTCTCTACTACTCCTGCTGACTTGATGCAAAACTGTTGGGTGGGCGGTATACTAGCTTTCTTGAGGTAGTTCTTGGTCCTCTCAGTGTTTCTTCTTTCTTATTAAAATTATTTTAAAATGTAAATGTAAAACATAGTCCTATCAGAGAAGGCAAATGCTATAAAAGAATATAGAAGTGAACTTGTAAGATGTCTCTGTCTGTTATATCAGTGGCTTCTTCCTCTCCTTCTTCCAGCTCCTCCTTTTAACAAGAAATATTAAATCACATTTAGAGCTCTAGCTGGTTTGGCTCAGTGGATAGAGCGTTGGCCTGTGGACTGAAGGGTCCCGGGTTTGATTCTGGTCAAGGGCACATGCTCGGTTGCGGACTCGATCCCCTGTTGGGGGGGTGTGCAGGAGGCAGCTGATCGATGATTCTCTCTCATCCTTGATGTTTCTATCTCTCCCTCCCTATCTGAAATCAATAAAAATATATATTAAAAAAGTCACATTTAGAGCCCTGGCCAGTGTGACTAAGTCAGTTGGGTGTTGTCCCATGTACCGAAAGGTCGCCATTTTGATTCCCGGTCAGGGCACATGCCTGGGTTGTGGGTTCGATCCCCAGTTGGGGCACGTGCAGGAGGCAGCCGATCAATGTTTCACTCTAGCGTCTTTCTCTCTCTCTCCCCTTCCTCTCTCTCTCTAAAGAGAAGGATCAATTAAAAAAAAAATCATATTTAGAAAAGCCAGATCAGTTAAACACCAACTACCCTGAGGGCCTCTATTCATGTCATAGACATCATACATTCATATACGGTAGATGGCAGTGAAGTGTGTTCTGACAGGTGGAACGTTCTGAAGAAAGACCACTCTCTAATTTGGACTAAGATATTATATAAATAAAAGCTAATAGGAACCCTGAGATAAAAAGGCCTTACTCTAAGATTTGAAAAAGTTAATTTTTCTTGTTATTAGGTCTTAAATGTTTTAATTGTTTACATTTTGGATTCCTCTGGAATTTATATTTTGATGTGTAGGGGGAGGTGGGGATTCACTTAATTATTTTTCCTCTCAAATAGCCAGCTATGTCAGCATAATTTATTGAATAATCAGTTTTTCCAGTTTTCAAATTTTTATCATATAAAAATAATAGGAGGTTGAAAGGGCTGCAGACTCTCAAGGGGGAGGTGCCTGTGGAAGTCACTCTGGCACTGAGGCTGGCTTCCCCGGGCCTGCTGGGAGAATACGGGTTGCAGGGGCTAAG